CAACCAATACCTCCCTAATTAATCTGATGGATTACCTGTGAACTGAAATGTCAATGGGGAACCTTATGGTAACCTTAGACCTGCAAAAGGCCTTCAATACTGTCAACCACAATAGTATATTATGTAAGAAGCTTCAAGTTATCGGTATAAGTTCTGTAGACTGGTTTAAATCCTACCTTAGCAATAGGAGACAAATTGTCAAAATCAACAAAACAGAATCAGAACCCCTGCCGACAGCATGTGGAGTTCCCCAAGGTAGTATTATGGGTCCTTTATTATTCTTATGCTATGTCAATGACATGCCTATCAGTGTCAAGTGCAAACTCCTACTGTATGCAGATGACAGTGCTCTGTTAGTGTCAGGTAAAGATCCACAAGATATAGCTAATGTATTAACACTGGAAATGGAGTCCTGCAGCAAATGGTTAGTAGACAACAAACTATCATTACACCTCTGAAAAACTGAAGTCATTCCTTTGGACATGAAACAATCTGAGAAGGGTAAATAATTTTAATGTCCAGTGTAATGGGGAGCCCATCACTTTGGTTTCATCAGTAAAATATCTGGGAATCCCCTTTGACCCATGCATGTCAGGAGAATTGATAGGGAACAGTGTAGTAAAGAAAGCGAATGCCAGACTGAAGTTCCTGTATAGACAAGCACAGTGTCTACCTACTGAGGCTCGCAGGACCCTATGTCTAGCCCTTATACAGTGTCATATGGATTACGCTTGTTCTTCATGGTACTCTGCCTTGAATAAAAACCTGAAAGATAGACTGCAAATCACCCAGTACAAAATTGTAAGATTCATCCTAGGCCTGGGCATGTAGGCCAGAATGAATTACAGCACTTGGATATGCTGAATGTTGAAGACAGAGTAAAACAACTGAAGCTAAATCATGTCTATAAAATTGCTCACAAACAGTGTCCAGAATATCTTGCTGCCAATTTTGTCAAGGTTGGGAACCAAAGCAATCATAGTACTAGGGGGAGAGAGCACAACTTTGTAGTACCCACAGTCAGTGGCCAGGCTTCAAACACCTTTATTGTACAGCAATAAAGGAATGGAACAGACTGCCCGCACATATCAAATCCAGTCATAGCATGAGCCAGTTCAAGAAGAGTGCCAAAAGGTGTCTGATGAATGTAGCTACAGAAAGGTAAGGGAATGATTTTTTATTTTTTAGCTAACACACGTGTAATTTTACCTTATTCCTAGTATGACTCTCGTATTGTAGATAGTCTTAATGACCGTCGTGTAGTAGATAGTCTTTTTAGTATGATAATAAGATGTTATCTTCATTACAGAATAATAAGAAAATATTATAACCTTTATATTATAAAGGTTATAATAAAAGGACCCTAATGGAAATAAGTCATTCTGACTGACTTTTTTGGGTTATCCTAGGTTCTCTACACATATGCTGCTATGTATGATAATCTATGTAACTGTATTTGTATATAGCTGAATAAAACTTACTTACTTACTTACTTAAGTAGAAGTAGCAAAACATACCTGAAATCTTGCATGTTTATGAGACAGAAAAAAAAACACCAGCAATCTTACCATCATGTAAAACAATTACAGGCTTTCGTTTTACACTCATTTGGCAGGACGGTAGTAGCTCCTTGTGTGGCTGCTGTCTACCAACCTACTACTGATGGCAACAGATACATAAAATCATTATATAGTTGTAGCTTACATTGAGAGTATGTGGCAGATGGGGTACACGGAGAATATCACCAAGACAGAAGTGAAAATTTATAACTTAAAGGAGAAGGAAGTTAAGGTAAGATATAAGGAACTACTGGACGAAAGATGGGCTAGTGAGAGTATAAGGATGACAAAGAAGTATGGGGGTACATTTAAGAATGCAGTTCGAGTGCAGGAGAAGTTTGTGGATATATGAGAGTGGATGAAGGAGAGGAGTGACTGGTGGAATGATGAAATAAAAATAGTGGCAAGGGAAAAAAGCAAGCATATGGGAGGCTTTTGCAAAGCAGAAGTGACATAAGGAGGGTGGAGTATATGAAGGGTAAACAAGACATTAAGAGAGTGGTGGGGGAATGTAAAAGGAGAGCACGTGAGAGAATGGGTGGGTTTTGTCAACAAATTTTGCTGCAAATAAGAAAAGTGAGATTAATAAGTTGAGAAAGCTGGGGAATGAATGGATCTAACAGTTAAAAACAAAGAGAAAAGTTATTGGATGGGAAAGCTGAAGTATTGGGAAGATGGAGGGAATATTTTGAAGAGCTATTAAATGTTGATGAAGAGAGGGAGGCAATGATTTCATGCACTGGGCAAAGAGGTACAACATCTTTTAGGAGTGAGGAAGAGAGCTAGATATGAATATGAGGTAGATATGTGAGGAAGTGAGTATAGAATGAAAGAGGGTAAAGAAGTTGGGAGTGATGGGATCAAGGCAGAAATGTTAAGAGCAGGTGTGGATATAGTTTAGGAGTGGTTGGTGCATTTATTCAATAAAAATAAGCATGAATAGTCCCTTTGTATAGAGGAAAAGGGGATAAAAGAGTGTAAAATTTATTGAGGAATAAGCCAGACTTGAGTCCTAGAGGTGGGACATACAATGCCTGCACTATGAAAGGGGCATTTGGGATATTGGCTATTTGGAGTGACATCTAAACTGTCATATCTGGACACCTCTGCAAAGTCAGTGATTATGTATGAATGATGATGATAGTATTGAATGATGGTGAAAGCGTTTTTTCTTTTTCGTGTCACCCTGTCTCAGTGGGAGATGGCCAACATGTTAAAAAAGAAAGTCTAATGAGTATACCAGGTAAAGTGTATGGAACAGTTATTTTTGAAAGAATTAAGGATAAGACAGAGAACAGGATCATTCATGAACAATGAGGTTTTAATAAGGATTTGTGAGGTACAGTCCTTGTGTTGTTATTGAAGAATATAAGTGAACAATATATGGATAAAAATGAGGAAGTTTTCAGTGCATTTATGGATATAGAAAAGGTATATGATAGGGAGGACAGGGAAGCAATGTGGCAAATGTTGCAAGTATATGGAAAAGGTGGTTGTTCATTTAATGCAGTTAAGTTTTCATAAGATGTAGGTAGAAGGTTGGTAGACAGCAACCACCCAGGGGGGTACTACCGTCCTGCCAAATGAGCGTAAAACGAAAGCCTGTAATTGTTTTACATGATGGTAGGATTGCTGGTGTCCTTTTTTGTCTCATAAACATGCAAGATTTCAGGTACATCTTGCTACTTCTACTTACACTTAGGTCACACTACACTAGAAGGTTGGTAGACAGCAACCACCCAGGGGGGTACTACCGTCCTGCCAAATGAGCGTAAAACGAAAGCCTGTAATTGTTTTACATGATGGTAGGATTGCTGGTGTCCTTTTTTGTCTCATAAACATGCAAGATTTCAGGTACATCTTGCTACTTCTACTTACACTTAGGTCACACTACACATACATGTACAAGCACATATATACACACCCCTCTGGGTTTTATTCTATTTTCCTTCTAGTTCTTATTCTTGTTTATTTCCTCTTATCTCCATGGGGAAGTGGAACAGAATTCTTCCTCCGTAAGCCATGCGTGTTGTAAGAGGCAACTAAAATGCCGGGAGCAAGGGGCTAGTAACCCCTTCTCCTGTATATATTACTAAATGTAAAAGGAGAAACTTTTGTTTTTCCTTTAGGGCCACCCCGCCTCAGTGGGATACGGCCGGTTTGTTGAAAGAAGAAAAGAAGAAGTTTTCATAAGAACAGTGAGGCTCAGGTTAGCATATGTAGGAGAGAGGGAAATTATTTTCTAGTAGGGGTGTGTTATGTTACCATGGCTATTTAACATAATTATAAATGGGACTGTAAAAGAAGTGAATGCTAGGGCATTGGGGGGAGGGGCAGAATTAAAAGATAAAGAATCAAATGCAATGTGGGAGTTGTCACAGATGTTTTTTGCCAATAACACAGCACTTTTGGGAGAGACTGAAGAGAAGTTGCAAAGGTTGGTGGATGAATTTGGGAAGGGATGTAAAGGTAAGAAATTTTAAAAATGAACATAGGAAACAGCAAGGTGATGAGTAACAAAAAAATTAAGTAATGAAGGACTGTGTATCCGACTGGAAGGAGGGAGTATGGAGGAAGTGAATGTGTTCAGGTATTTCGGAGTGGACTTGTTGGTGGACAAGTCTATGAAAGATGAGGTGAACCACAAAATTAATGAGGAAAATAAAGTGGATGGTGTACTGAGGCATCTGTACAAAAGATTATTCAAGGAGGCAAAAAAGAGATAGTATCAAAGCATAGTGGTACCAGCACTCTTATATGGGTGTGAAACATGGGTTTTAAATTTTGCAAAGAGGCAGGAGGCAGTATACATGTTATACCTGGGGGCAATGTGTGGTCTGAATATCATGCAGAAAATTTATAATATGGAGAACAGAAAACAGGTTACTAAAAGTATTATCTAGAGGGCTGAGGAGAGGTTATTGAAGTGGTTTGGACATTTAGAGAGGATGGAGCAAAATAGGATAAATTGGAAGGTGTATAAATCTTTAGTAGAGGGAAGGAGGGGTAGGAGTCATCTTAGGAAAGGTTGGAAGAAAGGGGCAAAAGTTTTGTATGTGAGGGTTCCGGATATCCAACAGGTCTGTGTGAACATGTTAGACAGAAGTAAGTGAAGGCAAGTATTTTTATGACTTGACTTCCTGTTAGAGCACAAGTAGGGTAACATTTGTGAAGGAATTCAGGGAAACGGGTGAATCAAACTCGAGTCCTGGAGGTGGAAAGTCCAGTGCATGCACTCTGAAGGAAGGGTGGGGATACTGCAGGTTGGAGAGGCATCTGAGCTGTAATGTTGGAATGCCTCTAGAAAGACAGTAATGGAGTACGTGATGGTGAAAGTGTTTCTTCTTTTTTTGGGTCACCCTACCTCAGTGGAAAATGGCCAGTGTGTTAAATAATAACAATACTACTACTAATAATAATAACATAGGGTGCAGTACTTACGTATATGGAGCAAGAGGTCCTAAAACAATTTTGGACACATCTTTAGGTGTTAATGCCATACAAAGGAGCACAAAAGGTTGACAGATAGTATCCACACAGCCACCACGGTAAATTTCTTCCAGCAGCCTCCAAGCTGCCTCTCTGCCAACATCCTCAGGAAGCTTTGTTGCAGAATCTTCTTCAGGAGCATTAGACATGGCTTCAGCACATAAAAATGATCCCATGTTTGTTTCTGCTACTGCACACAAGCCAAAACCTACAATAATATGAATAAACAGATCAACTGACATTGTTGGTATTCTTATCCCTTAATTATATATAGTACTGTATACAAATTGGACTTGAGTGGTGGAGGTGGGAAGTACAGTGCCTGTACTCTGAAGGAAAGGTGAGTTTCAGAGTTCTGGCAGGAAAACGACTGCATGAATGACAGTGAATGAGTTTCCTCTATTTTTTTTTTTTTTTGGTTGGGGCATTCTACCTTCGTGGGAAATGACTGGTGTCTTAAAAATATACATATCAACACAGTGCCTGCACTCTGAAAGATGGCTGGAGATGTTTAATGGGTTTGTTTGGTAGGATGAAAGCGGGTGAAAAAGGATATACTTCTTCTTCGGAGGCTTCTTACTTTATTGTTAAGTCGTGGTGGGTACACAGGCTTGTGTTGTGCCCATGGCCCGGTAGGGGCCATGCCCACGAGGGAGAGAGGAGTGGACAGTTCTTGACTGAGTGATGGGTGTCGCCAGAGTGAGAGCGTGGCAAGGGCAGGCAGGCTGGCGTGCCCACCGAGAGGCCTGGCTACACAGGGCAGCACCTTAGTGCGCGAAATATGAACTAAGCTGGCAGACAGCATGGGCTGTCTGTGCAGACAGTACAGGCTGTCTACAGAGATACTGCAGTTCAGAGGGCCATTTGAATTACGACATTCACACACTTGCTGGGAAATTGTCAATGTGGTAAGAAAAATGCAAGATTTGAGAATCAAAGTCTAAGCAAAACTCATGACTCCATAATACATTCCAGAAAAATATCCTATATATTTCTGCTCTAATACATCCCTCCATCTTTTGGTCAACCTTTTTACTAATCATTTAAATATATTACTGAATATGACTCCTCTCATTCAAAAATAGCATATTTAGATATTTTCCCTACATCCATGAAGAAGTGTTCATATTAACACAGTAGCAATAATGTCATCTCTCTCTCATTCTAGTAATATCTTAAGAGCAAAACAAATACAGTAGTCCCTCGATAATCATCCGGCCTGAAAGTCGTCCATTTCAGAAACAGTCCCGTTATTTCGTCTAAACATTGGCTCACAAATGGTCCGTTAACTCGCTAATCGTCCTTCGTCTGGGACGCGTACTCATGCTCTGAGCCGCCTGGGCCTGCCTTCCCAGCCAGTGTGCCATTGTTTACCAGTGAGCGACGGTCCCCTCACTTGCTCCTACGAAATATTTCATAATATTCCATTGATTTTAGTGCTTGCAAGTGCTAAATAAGCTACCATGGCTCCAAAGAAGGCTTCTAGTGCCAGCCCTTTGGTAAAGAATGTGAGAAACACATATAATTTATGAAAAAGTTTGTAGAAAAATACAAAGGTGGTGGTGGTAGAGTGGAAGCAGTTGTGATAGTGGTTGATGGTGGTAGTGATGATGGTAGAAGGTAGTAGTGATGGTGGTAACAGTTGTAATAGTGGTAGAAGGTCATAGTGATGGAGGTAGAGGGTTCTTTCTTTAGTGATTCAGCGGTTCTACCAACTCCTCCAATGTTGTTGGAGTTATATAGGGCTACAGAAAACACTGCTGCCTCAGCTGCTGCTTCACCACCATTATGGACAGCTTACTCTCAGTGGCCCTTATATACCCAACAACAACACAACACCTCTTGTGACATACGTAATGACTTATTTTATTCATTCTAGAGAATATTCCATGTTTCTATGTTATTAATATTGTTTATTATGTCATATTAGTTGAATTGTGACAGATAAATAAGCCATAGAGTTGATATTAGTGTCATATTCTCCAACAATAAACTTGCCATCCCTCCCTCACACAAACAAGTCTCCAATAAGAACATAAGAAAGGAGGAACACTGCAATAAGCCTGTTGGTCCATACTAGGCCAGTCCTTCACAAATCCAACCCACTAACAGAACAAATGCTACCCAAGCACTAAGCTCAGGTGCAAGTCCGACTCAAATCCAACCCCTCTCACTCATGTATTTATCCAACCTAAATTTGAAACTACCCAATGTTTTAGCTTCGATCACCCTACTAGGCAGACAGTTCCACTCATCAACTACCCCTATTATCAATGTTCATTTATACATTTTATTAGTGCTTTACATTTATTTGGCATTTTTTTCTGCATGTAAATCTATATTTATGCTAGGGAAGTGACCCCTGAAGTGACCTAGAGTCCTTATGGAGGAGGATTTCCCTTCCAAACAATAACCTCTCTTCCCTCTCTCCTCCTCCCTGTCTTCCATTCATCAACAACAGCCTTCAATAAAGGTAACTCATGTTGAATGTTCATTCTTTTGTGCATGTAAGTCTATCTTTTAGGTAAAAAAAAAAATTGTTGTTGATACTTCTGGGTGTCTGGAACAAATTAATTGGATTTACATTATTTCTTATGGGGAAAATTGATTAGAAAATCGTCTATTTCGATAATAGTCCCACTTCAAGGAATGGATTAAGGACGATAATTGAGGGACCACTGTACAGTAAAGGTCTGCCATCACAAATTTATTTATTTATTTATTTAATAATTTGAATATACATACAGAGGTACAAAAAAATACAGTTAAGAGCAGCATGCCAAAGCCACTTGTATGCATAGCATTATGGGCTGGCTTAAAATTAACTTAAGATTAACTAAGCAATGATGTAATCAGTGATAAAACATTATTGTAAACAGATAACAATAAAGCACAAATGAGTATTACAAAGACAGGTCATATGGTTGCATGCATTGCTGTACATTCAGTAGAATGGAGTATTCTGTTAGGTAGTGTATTTAAAAAATAACAAAGTTAAGTACACCTGCACCAAACTTCACCAAATTCCTTTTGAAAACGCACTATCTTACCTCGTGACGAATCTGAACTGCTCCAACCTCAGAATGCAACTATTCCACATGTCCAAGAGGTTTAACATTTATGTGAAGCAATTGTGAGAAACATTTAAGATATACAATTTATAAGGTTCAGTTATTCAGTATTTATTTGGTTTTGGGTGAGTAAGTGATCTTTGAGAAGAGACTTGAATTTAAAAGCAGGTAGTGTTTCTTTTATATTTACAGGTAATGAATTCCAGATTTTAGGGCCTTTTATGTGCATTGAGTTTTTGCATAGCGTGAGATGGACACGAGGAACATCAAAGAGTGATCTGTGCCTTGTGTTATGGTCATGTGTTCTGTTGAGGATGGCAAGATGTTTGAGGGGAGGGTTAATATCAGAGTTAAGTGTTCTATGTATGTAATAGGTGCAGTAATAAGTATGGATGTTTTGTATGGTGAGTAGGTTTAGTGTTTTGATTATTGGTGGAGTGTACTGCCTGTAGTGGGAATTTGTTATCATTCTGACTGCAGCCTTTTGTTGGGTAATTAGTGGTCTGAGATGGTTAATTGTTGTTGAGCCTCATGCACAAATTCCATAGGTGAGATAGGGGTAAATAAGAGTGATATAGGGCCAGGAGGGCTGACTGTGGAACATAGTACCGTATCTTCGATAGTATGCCTACGGTCTTGGAAATTTTCTTAGAAATTTGTTGTATATGTGTATGAAATTTGAGTCTATTATCAAGGTGGATTCCTAAGAATTTTCCCTCTGTTAGCTTTGTGATAGGTGATCCGTTTATCATTATGTTAAGAGGGACATCTGTAGCTCTGTTACCAAACTGAATGAAGTAGGTTTTGTCAATGTTTAATGTAAGTTTGTTAGTCCTCATCCAGGTAGATATTTTCTGTAATTCGGTATTTACAGTATTGGCTGGCAGTATCTGGCATCATTGGGACCTGTAGTGTACCAGATTGCTGAGTTTGCTGGATTACAGAGTGATTAGGTTAGAATACACTTAATAGTAAACCAACTTGACTTACACAAGAAAGTTCATTGAACATCAGCAAAACTCGAACATTTCCGCTACTTTGAGCTGAATTTCAAGGCACTTTTCCTCATGAAACCAATCAGAATCATATCTATTTCTGTAATATATCTTCCATTCTATGAAATGAGACCAAACAATCGAGAATACAACCATAAAAACCATACCAAATTATACCGCTAAGGGATGGCTAATGGCTGAGAAGTGAACTCCGTTATTTATCGTCTGATTTTTTTTTCAATTTTTGGTGTACATTAAGAAGCATCTTTCCATCATACATTGCCCAAGTTTCAATAAGATAGCCCAACAAACTGAGAAAAAAAATATTTACCAAAAATCATATATGGCAAGCCCAAGCCAGGTACTGGAAATAAGTCACTTTGTCTGACTTTTTTGGATTATCCTAGGTTCTTTATATATACGCTGCTATGTATGATAATCTATGTAACTGTGTTTGTGTATACCTGAATAAACTTACTTCTATTCTGCCAAGTGAGTACAAGAAATCACCCATTCACCTATTTCAACCACCCAATAAAGTGGTCAGAAATTGGCAATTTGGGCAATTTCACACAAATTTCAAAAGATACCAATTTCAAAATAGGGTCCAGAATAAACAATGCAGACATTCCTGGCACTAAAATAACATTTTCTCTGTTAGTCACATCTCCAGGCCCCTCTTATATTACTCTTGCTTACCATTTGGAATTTTTATTCACACAAAAAAATAGAAGATTTACTGTTATACAGATTACTGCATTATTGTAATAATTGTATAAATAATGTCAACTCATTCATGACTGTGTATTGGACTGGCCAGTCGGGCACATATTGGATAGTTTACTCTTGAACATTGTCAAAAAATCGAACATTTACACTACTCTGAGCTCAATTTTAAGGTACTTTTGATTGTGAAACCAATCAAAATCATATCTATTTCTGTAATATATCTTCCATTCTATCAAATGAGACCCCCCCAAAAAAAAGAATAAAACCATAAAAATCATACAAAAATACAGGTGGCCCTCCACATTCGCGAGTCTCACTTTCGTGAGCTTTGAACATACGCGAATGCCCAGCCGCCCAATCATATTTATGCTTCCCGCCATGTAATCACCTCCATTCAACTGTCATCAGTAACTGCATGGCTAATGATCATCACCATCATCGTCATTGCCATCATCATCACAAGTCATCAGAGTTCGTCTGCCTAACCTTACAAGTGGTTAGTGTTTTGTTTGTTCATTATTTGTTATTAAACCATAACATGTATGTATATACAATATATGTACAGTGGATCCTCGTTTTTCATAATTAATCTGTTCCAGAGTGTGACTGATGGCGAAGTTGACGATTTGCAAAACCATTTTCCCCATAAGAAATAATGTAAATCCAGTTAATTTGTTCCAGACACCCAAAAGTATTAAAACAAAATATTTTTATGTGACATATAGATGTACATACACAGAAAACAATGAGACATGAAGAACAAAACAATAATAACATGACACCTTTATAGAGGATTCTTCTTAGTGTATTGAAGATGGGAGTAGGGGGGGGGATGGAGAAATTACTGTTTGGAAGGGGAATCCCCTTCCATAAAGACTTCAGGTACCAAGTACTTTTCTGGGGTTACTTCCCTTCTTTGTGTTTTAATGCCACTAGGACCAGCTTGAGAGTCACTGCACACCAATGGCACTAAATATCTCTCCAGAGAGCTCTGTTTCTGGTGTCTCTTTAAAATTTCCCTAAAATGGGACAAGACATTGTCACTGTACATATTGCTGACACGGCTTGCAACAACTTTGTTAGGGTGATATCCCTCCACAAATCTTTCCATCCTACTCCACATTGCACAAATCTCCATTACTACCAACCTCTACCACCATCACAACCACTACCACCCTCTGCCACCATCACAACCACTACCACATCACCACTACCACCCTCACAAGTGCTGTATAACCCTTGTGGTTTAGCGCTTCTTTTTTATTATAATAATAATACCACCATCACAACTACTACCACCCTCTACCACCATCACAATCACTACCATCCTCTACCACCATCACAACCACTACCACCCTCTACCACCATCACTACCACCCTCTACCACTATCATTACCACCACCACTTCATATTTTTCTACAATCTTTTTCTTTAATTCTATCATGTTTGTCACCTTCTTTACCAAAGGGCTGGCACTAGCTTTTCTTGGGCCCATGGTGGACTTTTCAGCAGTTGCAAGCACTAAAATAAATGGAATATTACAAAATGTATCGTATGAACGAGTGGGATCGTGCTCACTCGCTGATAAACAATGGCACACTGACTGTGAATGGTGTGTGGGGCCACTCGGGCCACTTATACGCATTGGGATGTACGACTATTTGCGAGTCAAACAACGATTCACAAGTCAATATTTTGACAAAAAAAGTAATAATTTGCGAAAATTACGAATTCCAATACTTATGAAAAACGAGGGTCCACAGTATGTATTTTACGATGTTTTCATGTGTTTTATGATTGTTCATTCAATTCAATTCAATTCAATTCAAGTTAAATCTATAAGGGTTACAATGTGGGGCTTACAGGTTTTGGGTATTGTGTGGTTTACATGTTATAAAATACTAATTACAGAGGGGGCCACTAGGACACCTAGCATGGCTAGGCATTTCAAGCAGACTTAGATTAATTCTTAACATTAAATCCTTACAGATTATGGTATTAAGGCTAAGTGACTACATCATAATTTGTGAGTTTACCAATGTGAATGCTTTTATTTTGGCACAATACAAGGTGTCTATATTGGAGTACCATAGGCAAACTTATGACTAGTTAGGATTTATTATTTTAAGATTAAGATTAGTATTTCTGGGTTTATAGTCAGTGGGTGAGTGAGTGTAATTGTGAACCACCAGGTGGTTATCATGTAGTTAGTTGTCGGGGTGGATCAAGGAGATAAGATGTTTTTTAACTGTAGTTTTGAAAGTGATGAATGTGTCTGCAGTTCTAGAGTTTTCAGGTAGGGTGTTCCAGATTTTAGGTCCTTTGAAATACAATGAATTTTTGTAAAGGTTTAGTCGAACACGGGGAATGTCATAGAGATGTTTGTGTCTGGTGTTATGCCTGTGGATCCTGTCACAACTATCAAGAAAGCATTTTAGGTCAAGGTTAATACTGGAATTTAAGGTCCTGTAGATATAGATTGCACAGTAGTAAGTGTGGATGTTCTGAACAGGGAGTAAGTTTAGATCCATGAAGAGTGGGAGGGAGTGTTGCCAGGGATGGGATTTAGTGATTATTCTTACTGCAGCTTTTTGTTGGGTTATTATTGGCTTTAGGTGTGTTGCTGCAGTTGAACCCCAAGCACAGATAGCATAGGTGAGGTATGGATATATAAGTGAATGGTATAGTGTGAGAAGGGCAGTTTGCAGTATGTAGTATCATATCTTGGAGAGGATCCCCACCATTTTGGATACTTTTTTTGTTACGTGTTGGATATGGGTGCTGAAATTTAGGTTGTTGTCGAGGTATAGGCCAAGGAATTTGTCCTCATTACATCTGGCAATTAGAGTGTTGTCGATCTTAATGTTAAGTTGTGCAACACCTGCTCTGCTACCAAACATAATATAGCATATATATTATATACAATATACACCTACCATCTGACTTTCGACCAAGCTTGGTTCTGACCAACCGGTCGTAAGTCAAAATGGACGTAAGTCGAACCTTTGAAAATTGCCGACATACTGGGTAGGGCATAATGTCAAACTTTTCCTATATAAACTACCTACATAGTACTGTAATGTAATGTACAATCATTATTTCATTTTTTTTATCATAATTTACTTCTATTGTTATATTTTAATTATTTATGTACTGTATATAATGTATACATGGTAGTGAACTGTATTGTAAATTTTACATCGCATACAGTATCATATGTTACTGTTATCCTTTATGTATTGTCGACACAGTGGAATGGGAGAATACCACTGGTAGTGTCATCCTGCCAGAATGTAGTATAACCTATACCCTAAGTAAAGAGAAACAACTCTGGAACATGTGTAATACATAGCTAGCTGGCTGGCCGGGTGGGTGGGTGGCCGGGTGGGTGGGTGGCTGACTGAATGTGGCTCTGTCTCTTTCTGTATCTCTCTCTCTCTCTCTCTCTCTTTCTCTCACAGGTACATATAAGTGACAGAAAGACACACACAGGTAGACACAAAGACAAACACACAGGTAGGCAGAAAGACACACACAGGTAGACATAAAGACAGACACACAGGTAGACAGAAAGACAGACACACAGGTAGACAGAAAGACAGACACACAGGTAGACAGACAGATAAACAGACACACAGAGATACACAGATATACAGGCAGTCAGATACAGACAGGTTTATGTGCAACACTGAAAACAAATAGAGAGTTCGAGAGTAAGAGCCTTTCTTGCCACAATCTCCAGTGCAAGATTCAGACTTCATCTTAGGGGCCATGGTGAAATTTACTGTCCAGTTAGTACAGTTAATACAGTATGATGCTGCTGATAGGGCAGGGTTACTCAAACTGATGCTGCCTGCATGACACATTGCCGCCGCGAGTATTGTCAAATATTGTACAGTGGTGTGCATCAGCCGGCCCAGCCCAGCTGCCAGATGCACGGTCATAAGTCGAGTGGACATATGTCAAGCAGGTCGTAAGTTGGATGGTAGGTGTATTTGTGCACCTAACAGTTGTGAATTTTCAACATTCGCGAGGTTCTTGGTCGACTGGAACAACAGAATCGGTGAAATCGCCAATGCGTAAATATCGCCAAGACCACTAACTTTGAGAGAGCATAATTCCATAAGTTTTCTATCAAATTTCATACTTACAGTTTCATTACCTTTGGAAAAAAGATTCTCTATCATTTCATAAGATAAAATAATTTTTTTATGTGAAAATTCTTCAACCCTGAGAGCAGGTTTGAAATCAGGTGTCTCAACTGAAAGGGTTAAAATAACCGGTACCCCGAGTTTCGTACAGCTCCCAACTCGAACAATTATGTAAGTGTATTATTGTAAATGCTTTTGTAAGTGTATTTTTGGGGGGCCTGAAACGGACTAATCTAATTTACATTATTCCTTATGGGAACAAATTTGTTCGGTAATGGCACTTGAACAGTCTTCTGGAACGAATTATGGCTAAAACTTGGGGTACCACTGTATTTCATTCAGAAGTTGAAGAAAAAAACATTATGTTGAAAAATGCAAAAGTGACATGCAGAATAAGCCTTTATGTGAATAATATTTTACTAATTAGAACTTGATAACATACTGGTCAGAGCAAAACACTGTCAAAATGACGAACTGTTTGCATACAGTCATCCATTCAAATTTGCAGAAGTCATGCAAAACTAAAAACTGTGAATAATACAAAATTAAGCCTGCACAAATTCTGTTTCAGATTTACATACATTTTGTGTTGTAGAGACCATATATCTGTAATATATTTTTAATACTGATATTCATAAGAAATAATGACCAGAGTATACATATTTAAATATGGAAAAGCCACTGAGCAAGAAAAAGTTGCCCAACTGAGCTGTTACTCAAGAATAAGGAAGCCTGCAAATTTTGTAGAGCTTACTGTACTTATCTCTTTTTCCACATACCTGTATAGTTTTTTTTTAACACGTTGGCCGTTTTCCACTGAGGCAGGGGGACCCAAATATAATTGCTGTCTTTGCAGAGGCGCTCAGATACGACAGTTCAGATGTCCCTCCAAACTGCCAATATCCCAGACCCCTCTGTTAACCCTTAAACTGTCCAAACGTAAATCTAGGTTCATGTGCGTAGCACTGACCTTGATTTTCCCCGTCTGAGAGCATGTAAAAAAAAACGTAGATCTACATTCGGAGCCCCCCCCCCGCACGTGGATGTAGATCTACGTTTGGACAGTTTAAGGGTTAAAGTGAAGGCATTGTACTTCCCATTTCCAGGACTCAAGTCTGGCTAACTGGTTTCCCTGAATACTTTCACAAAATATTACCCTATTAGTTTTATGCACTCTAATTAAAATAATATTAATAAAACAAATGTTACTAACCTGGTGAACTGCCCTTTGCACTGTCTAAGGTCAGATATACATCAGTGAGGAACTTTAGAAATTCCCCCTTAGCTGCATCAAGCATGCGGTTAGCGACAGTTGGAGCCACTCGACTAGTGTATGATATGCCTCTGATACGCTTGACCTTTCCATTCTCTTCCCACTATCGAACAAAATAAATTTAAGGAATATAATGTATGGTAATTACAAATTAGAAATATCATAACCAACATTAAGTAATTATCAATACTCCTGATTCAGTGGTAAGAATTCAATAGTGGCTTATTAGAACTTTATGTCACAAGGTTACAGCCTGATACACCAAGAAACTCTGAACTGCATTTTTCAATATTGCAAGCCTATATTACTACAGACCTCAGTCTTTTTTGCAATACAAATCAGAACACACTGCTTTATTCCACTGCCTAATCAAGGACGATGTCTGTCTACTTCATCTATATGACTATGTACAGTAGGGCCCCGCTTCACGGCGTTTTTGCCTTACAGTGTTCCACTAATACGGACATTTCAAATTATGACCAAAAGTCTATACAGCACCCTCACCTGACATTCTAATATGGTTACTGTGGGCCACCCAGTTTATTTACACTGTCCATCAGCACGACTCTCCATTATGTCTGGAAACTTTCCAAAATTTCATGTGTTTTAAAGTTATTTCATATTTTATATATAGTAGAACCTCTACTTACGAGTTTAATCTGTTCCATGACCTTGCTCACATCTGGATTTGCTCATCTGCAGAGTCAATTTTCCTCATTTAAATTAACTGAAATGAAATTAATGTGTTCCAGTGGAATTCCAGGCACAACAAAATAATTCAATATTTCCCTAATATCAACTCTACAGCATATTTATCTATCACACTTCACAGAAATCAAATAAGCTGATGTTGCAAAAGGGGTAAATATACTAACAAAACAGAGATCATAGGCAATCGAAGATGTGGAGAAATTGTTGATGGTGTGGCTCAATGAAAAACAGTTAACAGGAGATAGTGTTGTGCAGTCGATAATTTGCGAAATGGCAAGGCAGTTGCATGGGGATCTTTTAAAGAAAATGCCTGGAACGAGTGCTGCTGTTAGTGAATTTAAGGCTGGCAAAGTCTGGTTTGAAAAATTCAAGAAGCGTAGTGGCATACATAGCGTTGTAAGGCATAGTGAGGCTGCAAGTTCAGATAAACGTGCAGCTGAAAAATTTGTGCATGAATTCAAGGAGTATATAGAGGCGGAAGGATTCGTCCCCCAATCAGTGTTCAGTTGTGACGAAACAGGCCTCTTTTGGAAGAAAATGACAAAGAGGACCTACATCACACAGGAAGAAAAGGCACTCCCAGGACACAAGCCTATAAAAGACAGGCTAACTCTCTTGTTCTGTGGTAATGCTAGTGGGGATTTGAAAGTGAAGCCTTTACTGGTGTATCACTCTAAAAATCCCAGAGAGTTCAAGAAAAACAATGTCATCAAGACTAAATTGTGTGTGATGAGGAAGGCTAACAATAAGGCATGGGTCACAAGGAAAATTTTCCTTGACTGGTTCAATGAAGTGTTTGACCCAAGTGTGAAGAAATACCTCCTGGATAATAAATTGCCACTCAAGTGCCTCCTGGTAATGGACAATGATCCTGTTTATCTTCCAGACGTGGAAGACCAATTGTTGAAGAAGTTTAGTTTCATCACGGTCAAGGTCTTGCCCCCTAATACCACTCCTCTTATCCAGCCCATGGACCAGCAGATCATTTCAAAGTTGAAAAAACTCTACACCAAAGCAATGTTTCAAAAGTGCTTTGATGTGGTCTCGGACACTGAATTGACCTTAAGAGAGTTCTGGAGGGAACATTTCAATATCCTGAACTGCATAATCCTTATAGATAAGGCTTGGCAGGGACTGACTTCCAGGACGATGAACTCTGCTTGGAGAAAATTGTGGCCAGAATGTGTCCCAGAGAAGGATTTTGAAGGGTTTGGAGCTGACCCTGATGACCCTCTGCCTGTTGTGGAATCTAATGTGGCACTGGGAAATTCCATGGGGTTGGATGTGAGTGGCCAGGATGTGGAAGAGTTGGTGGAGGACCACAGTGAAGAGCTAACCACTGAAGAGCTGCAACACCATCTGTAACAGCAACAGACCACAGCTGAGGAAATTGCTTCAGAGGAGGAGGAAGAGAGAGAGAAGAAGGAGCCTTCTTCAGTAATTAAGGATACCTGTGCAAAGTGGAGTGAGGTACAAATGTTCGTGGAGGAACATCACCCTAACTAAGCTGTTGCAGGCCGTGTCTGCAACATGTTGCCCATTTTAGGCAAATCTTAAAGGGACACCAGAAACAGAGCTCTCTGGAAAATTTTTGGAGCGACTGGCCCAGTGACACTCAAGCTTGTCCTAGTGCCATTAAAAAACAAAGAAGGGAAGTAACCCTGGATAAGCACTTGGTACCTGAAGCCTTTATGGAAGGGGATTACCCTTCCAAACAATAATCAGTCCTCCCTCTCCCCTCCTCCCCATCTTCCATACACCAACAAGTGTGATGTTAAATCTTCATTTATACATTTTATTAGTGATTTATATTGATTTGTCATTGTTTTCTGCATGTAAATCTATATTTAATCTCTAAAAAATTTATTTTTTTGTTAATACAGTGGACCCTTAACTAACGGCGGCATTAAGTAATGGCAAATTCGTCTAACGGCGCTCTTTGGTGTAAAAAAAAAAGAAATGGTTCTACCAACATCGAAAAACTCATCTAACGACACATTAGTGTAGTTACTGCAGATCCTCCATTTACTGTTGAGGATGTCAAAAATGCCCAAAGAACAGATCCCATGTGGTCTGGTGTGATTCGATTCCTGCTCCAGGAAGATCTTATTCTTACTGTGAAGCCACCAGCACCCATTAGTGACTTTGTAATGAGCCAAGAATTACTGTAACGAACAGCCGAGTTGGGTACTCTAAGCAGAAGAGTGTACCAGTTAGTAATTCCAAAGTCACTAGTGAACGTAGCTCTACAGCTAGTTCATGATGCACCAGGTGTTGCACACCCTGGTATGGATCGTTCTGTGAAACAAGCCAGAATGAAATACTTTTGGCCACGTATGGCAAATGACATTTCAGAGTATAGTTATCTGTTTACAATAATGTATTATCACCGATTTCATCATTGCTTAGTTAATTTTAAGCCAGCCCGTAATGCTATGCATAGTATAAGTGCCTTTGGCATGCTGCTCTTATCTGTATTTTTTTGTACCTCTGTATGTATGCTCAAATTGTTAATAAATAAATAAATGTAGTGTTTGTATGCAACATAAAGGAAATGTCAATGGTCCTAATCCAATCCAAGTGTACCCAACCACTAGCAAACCGTGGGAAAGAGTTGCTCTTGATTTATTAACCAATTTTAAATGTTCCCTCCTAGGCAACAAACATCTGTGTGTTATGGTAGACCATTTCACCAGATATTGTGAGTTAGTTCCTATTGGAGATAAGACTGCTGAGACAGTAGCTAAAGCGTTTAAGGAACGCATTATCTGCAGGCATACCACCCCTAAGTCCTTAGTAACAGATAATGGAGGTGAATTCTGTAATGAGATTCTTGAAAATTTGTGTACTTTGTACAAGATCTCTAAATCCACCATTTTTCCTCATCATCCTGCCAGCAATGGGTTAGCCGAACGAACCAGTAAGAAAGTACTTGATGTCCTGAGAGCCACTATCAACCCCAATAGTGAAACTTGGATGAAGTTATACCAGATGTTCAATGTGCCATAAATTCTGCTTACAATGCTTCCATAGGTGATACTCCACATTATGCATTGTATGGTGTAGACAAGCGTTTACCCTATGAGTTGTTATATTCCACTCCGAAACCTAATTACAACCCTGATGATTTCGTAGCAACTCGTACCAGCATGGCTCAAAGTGTTTTTAGAAGAATCCGTGAAACACTTCATAAATCAACAGCAGAATTTACTAGAGTAACTAATAGTCGTGCTAAGCCATCAAAAGCCAAAGTAGGTTCGAGAGTAATGCTGACAAATTTCAACAAAACATCCGCAATGACTAAGCTCGATTAAAAGTTTGTCAGACCTTATCGAGTTGTAGAACATATCTCTGGCAATAAGTATAAGGTTAGAGAAATTAGTACTGGTAAGTACAAAGAATCGCATTTAGATCATATGAAATTAGTATGTGATGTTGATGATATTGCTACCCAGACTAATGTGACAGATGCCGAAAATCCTCTTGACTCTGTACCCTCTACCTCAGATACTCTGTCAGATAATCAACCTGAATGTCATTACTCCTTGCGTACTCGACAAGTAATGAGAAACCCACAAGTATCTTTTGTAGATACTCGTTCAAGTCTCCCTCAGTCAAGGCATGTGTTAGCCATTGCAGAGGAATTCGATCCTCCCAGAGATGATAACCATTCTGCATATGTAAACTTCACCCTCGTAGAATTGGGTTTAAATGTACATAGTCTGTATAACTAGATGTCTGAGATGAAGTAAATTGTCAACTGTTTGTTATTAACTGATTAGTTTTTCAAAAAAAAAATTTTTTCGTATTCACGTTCCCTCCGTATTCTGAGAATTTGACAGTAATGATCTGAGTGCGCACCAGATGCCTTTGCTGTTAATTTCACCTTGTACGTATATATTTATTCTTGCTCAGAATCCGTAGAGTACATGAATACAGATCGATCGATCAATTCCATCCCATATTGTACAATGATTTGTTCTTATAGTTTGTAATGCATTACGTAAAACTCATTTTGTTAACATCCATTACGATACCATCCATTAGTTCTAAGTTATACAGTGGACCCCCGCATAACGATGGCATCGCATAGCGATTTTTCCGCATAACGATTACTTTTATCGCAAAATTTTTGCCCCGCATACCGATTAAAAACCCGCATACCGATTTTCGTCCGAGACGCGTCCAATGTGCCCTCAGCCAGCCTCACATGTGCCGCTCCGTCCCATTGTTTACCAGCCAGCCTCCGCGGTAACATCCAAGCATACACTCGGAATATTTCGTATTATTACAGTATTTTCGGTGCTGTTTCTGGAAAATAAGTGACCATGGGCCCCAAGAAAGCTTCTAGTGCCAACCCTACACCTCAAAGGGTAAGAATTACTATAGAGA